TAGATAGATAGATAGATAGATAGATAGATAGATAGATAGATAGATAGATATAGTCAGAATATAGATAGACAGACAGATAGATGTTAGTTAGATAGATAGATAGATAGATAGATAGATAGATAGATAGATAGCTAGCTAGATAGATAGATAGATAGATAGATAGATAGATAGATAGATGGGTGGATGGACAGACAGACGTACGTACGGACGGATGGACAGACAGAGTGATGGATAGACAGATAGATAGAAAGACAGACAGATTAATAGATGGATAGACATACGAATAGACATGAAGGCAGATGGATGAACAGATGGATGGATGGATGGATAGATAGATAGATAGATAGATAGATAGATAGATAGATAGATAGATAGATAGACGGAGGGACAGACAGAGTGATAGATAGATGGATAGACAGAGATAGATAGAAAGACAGATGGATGGATTGATAGATGGATAGACATAAAGGTGGGTGGCTGGATGGATGGACAGACAGCGATAGATAGATAGATAGATAGATAGATAGACAGACATGAAGGTGGATGAATGGATAGACAAGATGGATGGATGAACAGACGGAAAGATAGATGGTTAGACATACGGATAGACATAAAGGTGGATAAATGGATGGTTAGAACTTTTATGGACCAACATGGAAGAAAAGTCTATTTCCAGAATGCACTAGCTCAGTTGAATTTGATTGAATTACAACTCTTCTTTCTGTTCTTCTATTTCTAATTACAATTTCACTTCCTGTAGGGTGTGGCCAATTCAATTTACACTCATGATTTAAAAAGGAACCAATTCAGTTCTGAATTTTACGCAACTCTGGTTTGAAACCAGTCTTTATTTCTGCAGTTCTGTTGGGTGGCACTTCACCTTTAATGGCTGAAATATTAGTTATATCTCAAGCCATCAGATTCAATTTAAGTTTACATATCCCTCCAATCACTTGATTGACATGCATTTGAATGAGTTATGACTTCCTGTCTGTCCCGCGCTTAACACAAAAATTACAGAGCCAGATTTCTTCATATGTATGCGTGGGAGCGTGTGTTTATGTGGCGTGAGCGTGAGTTAGCGGTTGAACTGTAATTAGCTCTCTTGGCAGTGTGTGATCGTGTTAAACTCCTCAAGCCGAGCGGGTGATTCAGGAACGGCTGCCATAACGCCTGCCGTTTATCAGGGCCTGGAGCTATTCTTAGCCTCTTTAATCATTTTTATTTACTTCAATTAATTTGAGAGGAATGGAAGTAATTAGCAGTAGAAGCGTCTTATTTCAGAATGCGCGCTGGATCCGTCTCTGTTGATGGTAATGAGCTCGCTTTGTGTCAAACGCACACGCAGGTGCCACGGACGCCTGAGCGCAGCCAATCATCCAGGTAAGGCAGCCGTCTGTTGAAATGCGGGGCGCTGAACATATGGCGCTAAACTTTCTGTCTCCACCTGCAGGGTCGTTTTTCATACTGTCAGAGCATAAACACATGGCTAAGCTGTTATAGTTATGAATTGTGCATCAGTACTAACACATTAAAGCAGTAGGGCTGTGGGGGGGTTATGGATGCTCTAAGCGTCTTCAGCTGTGTTCATGATACTGCCTTTAATTTCATTATTTTCATCCTAAAAAGCCGTTTCAACTGAGTCATTACTTTTATCATGTAAATTGTGCTTTTTTCCACGTGATTAAAGCCATTGTTTGCAGTAAAGCGTGAGATGGTTTCATGTACAGTACAGTGACGAAGCAGTGCACTGGAAAGCAGGACTCTATTAATGTTCCTCAAAAATGGGCTTTGTTCTAAACCTAAATTTTAAACATTTTCAAAATATTTATTTTGAATATTTTGTTAATTTTTAAAATATTTTTTCAATTATTGTTTATCATTTCCTGCCTTTTAAAAATTATTATTATTATTATTATTATTATTATTATTATTATTATTATTATTATTATTATTATTATTATTATTATTATTATTATTATTATTATTATTATTATTATTATTATTATTATTATTATTATTATTATTATTATTATTATTATTATTATTATTATTATTATTATTATTATTATTATTATTATTATTATTATTATACTACAGCTGTGGCTTGCATTTAAACTGCACCCACAGGTTTTTGCATATTTTATCACAAATTTCATAATGCATTTAGCTACTAAAAGGGGCATAGTATCCTGTTGGCAAGACCAATAAAAAATTTGATTAATTCTGCAGATTTTCATACATTTTTTCCCCTAGAAAATGTGAAAAACAGTGTTATTTAAATACTATTATATATGTATTTATTAATAACAGACAGAGCGATAGATAGATGGATAGACAGAGATAGATAGAAAGACAGATGGATGGATTGATAGATGGATAGACATACAAATAGACATGAAGGTTTATGGATGGATGGATAGACAGACAGATGGATAGATAGATGGATAGACATAAAGGTGGGTGGCTGGATGGATGGACAGACGGACAGACAGCGATAGATATATGGATAGACAGACAGACATACGGATTAAAAGATGGATAGACATACGAATAGACATGAAGGCGTATGGATGGATGGATGGACAGATACATAGATAGATAGATAGATAGATAGATAGACAGACATGAAGGTGGATGAATGGATAGACAAGATGGATGGATGAACAGACGGAAAGATAGATGGTTAGACATACGGATAGACATAAAGGTGGATAAATGGATGGTTAGAACTTTTATGGACCAACATGGAAGAAAAGTCTATTTCCAGAATGCACTAGCTCAGTTGAATTTGATTGAATTACAACTCTTCTTTCTGTTCTTCTATTTCTAATTACAATTTCACTTCCTGTAGGGTGTGGCCAATTCAATTTACACTCATGATTTAAAAAGGAACCAATTCAGTTCTGAATTTTACGCAACTCTGGTTTGAAACCAGTCTTTATTTCTGCAGTTCTGTTGGGTGGCACTTCACCTTTAATGGCTGAAATATTAGTTATATCTCAAGCCATCAGATTCAATTTAAGTTTACATATCCCTCCAATCACTTGATTGACATGCATTTGAATGAGTTATGACTTCCTGTCTGTCCCGCGCTTAACACAAAAATTACAGAGCCAGATTTCTTCATATGTATGCGTGGGAGCGTGTGTTTATGTGGCGTGAGCGTGAGTTAGCGGTTGAACTGTAATTAGCTCTCTTGGCAGTGTGTGATCGTGTTAAACTCCTCAAGCCGAGCGGGTGATTCAGGAACGGCTGCCATAACGCCTGCCGTTTATCAGGGCCTGGAGCTATTCTTAGCCTCTTTAATCATTTTTATTTACTTCAATTAATTTGAGAGGAATGGAAGTAATTAGCAGTAGAAGCGTCTTATTTCAGAATGCGCGCTGGATCCGTCTCTGTTGATGGTAATGAGCTCGCTTTGTGTCAAACGCACACGCAGGTGCCACGGACGCCTGAGCGCAGCCAATCATCCAGGTAAGGCAGCCGTCTGTTGAAATGCGGGGCGCTGAACATATGGCGCTAAACTTTCTGTCTCCACCTGCAGGGTCGTTTTTCATACTGTCAGAGCATAAACACATGGCTAAGCTGTTATAGTTATGAATTGTGCATCAGTACTAACACATTAAAGCAGTAGGGCTGTGGGGGGGTTATGGATGCTCTAAGCGTCTTCAGCTGTGTTCATGATACTGCCTTTAATTTCATTATTTTCATCCTAAAAAGCCGTTTCAACTGAGTCATTACTTTTATCATGTAAATTGTGCTTTTTTCCACGTGATTAAAGCCATTGTTTGCAGTAAAGCGTGAGATGGTTTCATGTACAGTACAGTGACGAAGCAGTGCACTGGAAAGCAGGACTCTATTAATGTTCCTCAAAAATGGGCTTTGTTCTAAACCTAAATTTTAAACATTTTCAAAATATTTATTTTGAATATTTTGTTAATTTTTAAAATATTTTTTCAATTATTGTTTATCATTTCCTGCCTTTTAAAAATTATTATTATTATTATTATTATTATTATTATTATTATTATTATTATTATTATTATTATTATTATTATTATTATTATTATTATTATTATTATTATTATTATTATTATTATTATTATTATTATTATTATTATTATTATTATTATTATTATTATTATTATTATTATTATTATTATTATTATTATTATTATTATTATACTACAGCTGTGGCTTGCATTTAAACTGCACCCACAGGTTTTTGCATATTTTATCACAAATTTCATAATGCATTTAGCTACTAAAAGGGGCATAGTATCCTGTTGGCAAGACCAATAAAAAATTTGATTAATTCTGCAGATTTTCATACATTTTTTCCCCTAGAAAATGTGAAAAACAGTGTTATTTAAATACTATTATATATGTATTTATTAATATTTTAAATGAGGTTTTATTTTTCGTATTTTTATTTATTTTAGTTTAAGTTTTAGTAATTTTTCTTATGTGCTTTTGTAATTTTTATTCGTTTTTTAAAATACATATATTTTTTTACTATATAGCTTTAATGCATTTTAATTTCCATTTTAGTTTTAGCAATTTTAGTACTTAAACTTATTTAAGTTAGGTAGAAAAAGCTATATTTGAAACATTCAGTTAAGTTTTTAACATTTTTTTTGGTCTAATATTTAAATATTATTTAATTTCAGGCATATTTCAGTTATTGATTTTGAACAGTTTTAGTTATCAATACAAATAAAGGTGAATAAATGTGAATAAAGAATTGATAGTTCTAGGATTGGGTTTAGTCATAACCTAAATGCTTCTTCCACAGTGATCACCATGTCATCCTTCCTCTCTCTCCGTTAGCCATGAAGAACTTAACGTTCCAGATCACGCCGGACTCCAACAAAGACAGCGAGAGCATACAGATGGGTCGAGACCTCAAACTTTCCTGCCACGTTGACGCCCAGCCTCAGGACAAGGTGAACTACACCTGGTACAAGAACGGAGCTCTCATCTACTCCGCTGACAGCCTCATCGTGCTGCGCAGCGACCCAGACATGCCACCTGGTACCAGCAGCCTGGAAATTGTGGACATGAAGTTCAGAGATCAGGCCACCTACAGCTGCGTAGCGAACTTCCCTGGGAGCAGCGTTCCTGAACTGCGAGTGGATGTGAACATCACGCAGAGCAGCGGTGAGACACTGATTGTAATACTAAAGACATGCAGGGTTTGAGGCCCTCACTTGTGCTCATACTGTGAAGTGGCCCTTTGATCCGACTCCTTCTGCTCACTGCTGATGATGCTGTTTGCTTGTTAAAATGGGATTTTCTTTGCTCACAAACATGAAAGACCCCATGAAATGGTTTGATGAGTGTTGTTTTCTTTTCAGTGTTTCCTATTGTCCAAACTGACTTTGGGATGAGACATATTGGACTTGTCCTGTTCTATCTATCTATCTATCTATCTATCTATCTATCTATCATTCTATATATCATTCTATCTATTGTTCTATTATTCTATCTATTGTTCTACCGTTCTCTCTATCGTTCTATCTATTGATCAATCGATCATTATATAATTCTATCTATCGTTCTATCTGTCTAATTCTCTATCAGACTACTCACCTTAGCAACTACAAGTTCCCTATCTGTCGGTCACTACGAGTTATGTTGTGACGACATAGGGGGTTTACTTGAGAGCCCCAATATGCTCTGACTTTCAGAGAAAACTGCAATTAATTTTGGCTAGTGGATTTTACATACCTGAGCCACTCCCCGTGCATAGGGGTATAAATAGGTGACAGGTGCATCCACTCATCAGATTTTTGCTTCGGAGCCGAGTGGGTGAATGATTTCTTCTCCACAAAGCCTTTTCATTCTGACTGGAAGAAAGAAGCTGTTCCTGGTTGGCGTGACGGCACAAACAGCGGTGTCCCTTTTAATTCAGCGATTTCCCTGGGTGCTTCAACTAAAAAGAGCAGTTTCTCATCACGGATGGCTCTTTTTAAAGATGCCGTTCCGTCCGTGTTCTCTTGGCTGCAGTCAACTTCCCTGGGAGCAGCGTTCCTGAACTGCGAGTGGATGTGAACATCACGCAGAGCAGCGGTGAGACACTGATTGTAATACTAAAGACATGCAGGGTTTGAGGCCCTCACTTGTGCTCATACTGTGAAGTGGCCCTTTGATCCGACTCCTTCTGCTCACTGCTGATGATGCTGTTTGCTTGTTAAAATGGGATTTTCTTTGCTCACAAACATGAAAGACCCCATGAAATGGTTTGATGAGTGTTGTTTTCTTTTCAGTGTTTCCTATTGTCCAAACTGACTTTGGGATGAGACATATTGGACTTGTCCTGTTCTATCTATCTATCTATCTATCTATCTATCTATCTATCATTCTATATATCATTCTATCTATTGTTCTATTATTCTATCTATTGTTCTACCGTTCTCTCTATCGTTCTATCTATTGATCAATCGATCATTATATAATTCTATCTATCGTTCTATCTGTCTAATTCTCTATCAGACTACTCACCTTAGCAACTACAAGTTCCCTATCTGTCGGTCACTACGAGTTATGTTGTGACGACATAGGGGGTTTACTTGAGAGCCCCAATATGCTCTGACTTTCAGAGAAAACTGCAATTAATTTTGGCTAGTGGATTTTACATACCTGAGCCACTCCCCGTGCATAGGGGTATAAATAGGTGACAGGTGCATCCACTCATCAGATTTTTGCTTCGGAGCCGAGTGGGTGAATGATTTCTTCTCCACAAAGCCTTTTCATTCTGACTGGAAGAAAGAAGCTGTTCCTGGTTGGCGTGACGGCACAAACAGCGGTGTCCCTTTTAATTCAGCGATTTCCCTGGGTGCTTCAACTAAAAAGAGCAGTTTCTCATCACGGATGGCTCTTTTTAAAGATGCCGTTCCGTCCGTGTTCTCTTGGCTGCAGTCGTTACCTGTCCTCTGTCAACGGCCATGAACGTTGCCTTCAGTGTCTGGGCATCCAACATGCTGAAGCTGCGTTTGTGGATGACTCATGCATTGCGAGCGTATGAGCATGGCTTCGCTGCGATCTCGCCTCTCTCTCCTCATGGGGAATGGAGCGGCACCCTCTGTCTCAACTCGTCCCGGTTTCCCTGTCACGAGCAGGGGACCGCCGGCTAGAGCTCTGGGAGATCTGAGGGTCACAGTGAGAGCTTCTCCGCCGGGCGGACCTCTCACTCCTTCCGCAGTGAATGTCCCGTGCGGCTCCCAAGTGATTCCGCTGGCCCGGCATGTGACGGTCCCAGCATTTCATTCGGTGCGCCGCCGGAGGATTGGATGTCGATCGCAGCATCCGGGGATGGGCTATCGCCCTCCGAGGATGAAGATTCGGCGTGGCTGCCCCCCTTGGGTGTTGTCACCGCCGCTGAATCGGACCCGGAAGTGACGGCTGTGCTTCCCGGGCAGCCGCGAGTATTGGGCTGGAGGTGTGCACGCTTCCCAGTCCCGCCCTCTTGTGGCTGGATGATTGGTTTCTCGGCCAATCTCTCTCGCGGCCAAAGCTTACGGTGCTGCGGGCCAGGCCGCCTCTGCCCTGCATGCCATGGCTATCCTGCAGGTCCACCAAGCCAAGGCACTCAAACAAATGCACGAGGGTAGTTCCGACCTGGGGTTGATGCAGGAACTGCGCACGGCGACTGACTTCACCCTCCGGGCGACGAAAGTCGCGGGAAGGCGATGTCCACACTTGTGGCCCAAGAGCGTCATCTTTGGCTTAACCTCGCTGAGATGAGAGATGTTGACAAAGTGCGCTTTCTTGACGCTCCCATCTTGCAGGTTGGCCTATTCGGCGATGCTGTCGAGGACTTTGCCCAGCAGTTTTCGGCAGTGAAGAGACAGACTGAGGCCATCCAGCACATCTTGCCCCGGCGTGATCCTCCAAGTGCCACCGCTCCACCGCGGGCCGCGCCTCAGCCTGCTCGTCGCCGAGGGCGCCCCCCTGCATCCTCGAGAGCGCCTCCGCCCCATGCTGAGCCACCATCGAGGCGGGTGCGTTGAGCCTCTCGGAGGACTGCGGCGCCCTCCGTGTCCCAGCCGGCCGCTAAGTCCTCTAAAAAGATGACAAAGCGGCCCTGACATGGGCAACCCGGAGATGTAGGAAGCTGCTCTTTTTCAGGAGATGGCGAGAATAGCGCCACTCCTTCCCCCAGATGAGGGCTGGGTGGAGAATCCTTTGTTCCGTTTTGTTTCTGTTCCATTTGGTACCCACATTGCGAGCGCCTTTTGCTCCTCCAGTAAGTTCCCCGGATGGCGAACCCTGTTTGACTATCCTCCAGCATCCCCGGCAGTCAGACTGGGCGGAGCAGTCTGACGCCAGGCCCAGTATCGGTGTTAGCTTGCCCGGGTTTCCGGTCAGCCCCTTTACTGGGCTAGGTGTCCATATGGCTTGATTCCCTGCAGGCGATCCCATATGTGTATTCTTCCACGGTAAGGTTTCCCTCTCGGTGAACCCGTGTCTTCCCTTTGCCAGACCACTCTGTCAGTCTTTGCGGGCAGCTGTTCCTCCCTACTCCTAGGTAGGACATGCCTCAGAGACCCATTTCATATTTAGCACTGCCGCAGGCTTGGGTCAGTCCATATCAGCGTCTCCACATGATACCTCCCTATGGGCAGGATGTGGTCTCCGTAGCGCCCTTCTCTGGAAGGCTCGCTTCACCATCGTTACTGCCAAGCTGTAAACAACAAACAGGAAAGGCGTGAGGCACCTTTCAAGAAGGTCGAAATCCCTTCACTTAAGAAAATATTTTCTGTGGTAGGAACAGCGGCTTGGCTATCTCCAGCAGCGATGTACTCACCTTTTGGTCCCTGCGGGCGCCAAGGTCAGCGAATTTGCGCTGGGGAGTTGGGAAGGTTACGACCTTTGCGTAGCATTTGTCTGACACGCGGCTGCTTGTCAACATTTGCAGCGCTACAGGGTTGTGACGGGGTTCAGGTTGTGGCACAACCTTGAACCATCACTGGTTGCCAGGGACACGTTCTCGGCTCCTCAGCGTAAAACCTGATGAGTGGATGCACCTGTCTCCTGTTTATACCCGTATGCACGGGGAGTGGCTCAGGTATGCAAGATCCACTAGCCAAAATTCATTGGCGTTTTCTCTGAAAGTCAGAGTGGATTGGTGCTCTCAAGTAAACCCCCTATGTCGTCACGACATAACGTCTCTGTTCCCTCCATCAGGGAACGAGGGTTACGTACATAACCGAGACGTTTTCAAACTAAAACTTCAAAATAACAGACATTCAGAGTTTATCTTGACAAATACTTATATTCCAGTTGTCAGATTCTTTAAAAAAAATCCAGCATTGTGAATTATGCTGGATGCAGAGTGTTATGGTCCGATAATAGCAAGAATTTAATTGAAAAAAGACTCTCTCAACATGAATTTTTTTAAATGAAATAAAAATGACCTCTTGTGCCATCTTTAAAGATTTTTTTTTAACAACAACAGAAAGAAACCACTATTTAGCACAAATGTTTTCTCATATATAGGGCTTTTTTGTACAACATGATGTTTATTAAAGGCATAATATGTACGTTTTCATCGCTAGAGGGCACATATTCAAAGCAAACAAGAAACAAAGGCGTAGTTTGATGACGCCGTGACTGAGTGTGGAATCATGGGAGTTGTCGTCTTCATCCCCACAGCCAATGCAATCCGACGGGACTCGGGCAGAAATCATGTTAATTGATGAGCTAATGTATTAAAGACTTATTAAGGTCACTGTAGTACAGTGGTGGAAAGAGTACTGAAAATTTGTACTGTTACATTGGTGAAATAATACTCAATTACAAGTAAAAGTACTGGTGCCAAAACAGTACTTAAGTAAAAGTACTCAAAAACTACTCAGAGTACTAGTTACATTTTAGCCGGCGATATTTAATGAATTACCAAAAAAACATTAATTCACATCAAAGATCTATGTGGATAAGGTACTTAGAACAAAACCCACTTTTATTTTATTGACAAAGTATATGAATTAGTGGTCATGATACAGGAATTTCTAACTTCAATACCTTGATAAATATCAATAGTAAAGTACCCATGAATCGGAAGTTGCAACTGACTTCAGTGTTATGATGTATTTCCAAGTGAAAGGTTGTGACTAGAAGGGATACAGCTCCGACAGTTAATAAAAAACGTCTACACCTACACCTACCCCAACCCTAAACCTACCCCTTACAATAATGCAAAAAATATTAATTATTGTTGTACAGTGTGACAAAAATTACACTGTATTGATGTGCGCATGCCCAGTAGCGCCATATGTATCCCTTCTAGCCTTAACCCAAGTGAAACAGAATATTGAATAAAGGGTGAGGCTTTATTGTGGTGCACCTCCACTCCACCTCTTGCTCATAGCAGATTCACAGTTGGATAGTGGTTAAGAATATCTGCTACGTTGTTACGTCTGACATCACGCTTCAATGCCCCTGGGTCCTAACTCTCAGCCAGACGCCCCAAGAAAACCCTAAACTGTGCTAATATATACCCAGGATGTCATGTAATACTGAAAAAATTATAACCCCTTTATCTCCATACTGAAATCCCAGATGGCCAGACAGTGATTCAGCAAAAAAATTAGTGTCTGAGACACTGTGAGCACGGAGACTGTAGTGTGCACAGCAATTTTTTAAATGCTTAGCTTAAATATGTAATATTAATTAAATAGTGCTCATAAATGGCTGTTGAAGTAGTATTCTCAAGTGAAATGAGTAGAGGCTTGGACCCGTAAACAGCAGTCCTTATGTCATGACTTAACAAGAGGATTCTCCCGAAGCCGTCAAACTGACGTAATCAGAGCCAGAACGCCATTCCAGAGCGGAACCAAAATTTTCAGTTTTGAATTAAAGATTACGATGTTGGACCATTTTTTATTTTTTATTTTCCAGTGTATTGACTTCCACGGTTTAATTGTTCTCCACAAGACTAGTAATGTGCACTAAAAAAGTAAGGAGGGTCATTTTTGATTTCATGATTAATCATTTTCAATACCATTGGCAAAGCTTCCACATGCTGTATACTGCCATATAGATATTTTAATATCTCAATTTTTTTTTTTGTTCATCCATTTTTTTTCAAGGCAATCATTATTTCAAGCTCTGAGTGGTTTAATCCAAGTCTTCTAAAAAGACACGTTCGCTTTATATGATGAACCGATTTAATATAGGCTTTTATTTACATACATATAAATATTGATCAATTACCATTACAAAAATCTCAATCTTAAACATTTGCTCATTCTGTGTATTTGTGTCTTTAAAATATGGTAACTTTGTTGCAAAAGCTTACAGCAAAAGGAAGCATGATTTCAAATTTGATTTCAAACTGAATTTAATTTACAAAAAAGGACAAGTACACAATCAGTAATAAAATATTAAACAAATGACCTCAATTCAGTTGAGATACTCGAAATATGACAATACTGAATTTTCATAGGCAGTGTTTTAAGAGCCATATATGTTGTTTATTTAGATAAATGGAACATCAGATAGCTTTGACCTGTAATGTCTGTACAATGTAGTGATACAGTTATGCAGACTAGGATATTTATATGTACAAATCATACAAATATCCTATTCCAAAACATTTCTAGCATACTTACATTGTAAAGAAATTAAAGTTCCATCTTTGATTGTTGAAAGAATTTCTGGTGCATTTCACTAACAGCCAATAAAATTTCCAGTAAAATTTTCATCGGTCAGGCGTGGATCTATTCTGACAAAGTTTAATCCAGGAGCAAAGAGAAATAATTTAAAAGCACGGAGAGATCGCGATGCCACATTTGCGCAGGAATTATTAAAATTATGCGGAATACCTGCAATCCCGTGTGGACATTCAGACTCTGTAATTGACAGGAGGCAGATGCATGTCAAACTCACTGTCGGAGAGGAGAGAGAGACGCAGCTTGTGTCTGTGTATATTCGGTAGATATGTGTATATACGCGGCTTTTCCCGGTTCAGATATCAGGGCTGTTATTGGTCCGTTTACGTTCGGATAACTTTATTGGCTACTACTACTAATAATGATAATAATAATTCATTACATTTATATAGCGCTTTTCTAGGCACTCAAAGCGCTTTACATTGTCAGGGGGTATCTCCTCATCCACCACCAGTGTGCAGCATCCACCTGGTACATTCACTACTGAAGTGCCGTCAAAGGTTTGAATATTAATTCAAATTGTGGGCGTACTCAGTAACGAACTATGATTTAAAAATAACGAAGTAGATTATTTTGCTTAATTTGTACTTAAGTACAAGTAAAAGTACAGCTTTAAAAATATACTCAGAAAAGTACAAGTACCCAAAAAAACTACTTAAATATATAGTTCAGTCATGAAACTCTAGATGGCGCATTCTGACGGGGTGTTAAGCAGCGTAGCAGATCTGTTCCGCTAAGACCAAATGCATTAACATTGTCATATCCATCACCATGCTAAAAATGTTCAGAGAGTTGTCATGATTGAATTACAGTAACGTGAGTAGCTGTAATTCGTTACCTCCACCACTGCTGTAGTATGAAGCAGGGTAGGGCTAAAAGTCGTGGAAGCGAAACGAGGCAGCTGGAGTGATTGCTAATGAAGGACGAGCGAGATACACGGCTCGATAGCAGCAGAGCTTTTATTATGCCACAGTCGACCGCTTCTGCTTCTTCCGGTCATGCGTATGTGGGGTAAAACAGCGCTGTTTTATACTAGATACTGTAAATTTGAGTGTATTGAAAGTTCCGTTATAATGCTACACCTGTCTTGGGGTTTCCATGTTTTCAACAAAATAAAACCGGAAAAATCGAGGGGTTATGATGTCATTGGCAGGCGACGCAATGACACTATGGACACGGTCCGTTACACTAGTTAAAATTGCTTATTTCTCTGGATTTAAACATTCTTCAAAACATTTGGGATAATGTAAGTACACAAGTCAGCAAAATATATTACACTGTTCTAGTGGTTTTGGGATATTTTAATCAAAAAATCTTACATATTGTGCCTTTAAGTAGTTTTTCAGCTATCTGAGATGTTAAAGTTATGCCTCATGGGTAAACAGTGATAATGTGGGAATGGCCATTCTGCTGGGTTGATGGTAGTAAAATGTTGAATTCTGGGAAATACAGATGCCCTCATGCATTTGAGTCCCCTCTGATCTGCTCTCTCTCATCTCAGCAGGATGCTATTTTTTCCTGAGTTTCTCCTCTTTTTTGTACTTGAAGTTTCAACCTTCTCTGGGGTTACTCTCTGTTTCTGACTGCAGTACCTAACATGATCAATTGTATCATCTGACAGTCTCTTTATCTCTTGCTTTATGATCTTTCTGTCGTACTGTTTGAAGTCTGTCCATCCTATATGGTCATTATTTTGACTGTTTTTTTCCAATATGTGTTTTGGTGTTGGGCCAGTAGATTTAACACTGTAGTGTCTTAAAAAGCAGTTGATTATCTTTTCTTATATATTGTTTTATATTGCATCACAATAGTCTCTTTTATGCATTGTTAACCTGCCAACTGGCTTTGTTTAGGTGAGATAAAAAGAACTGGAGCATTAGCATTGCAACACTGATTGAGTAGTAGAATTTTTTCTTTTCCATTTTGATTGTTTTGTACAATTGTTTATAAGAAAAATAATTTTAATTTAGTTAATTAATTAATTGAATAAAGTACTACTCTTGTTGCATTTTTTTTTTTTTAAAGTTGGGATAAAAAACTTCTATGAATATGAGTTAGTGGTATCTCATAAAACTACAAATCTGCATCTTTGGATGTTATTTATTCCATTTTCTTCCATTTTTTATGGAAGCTACATATTAGCTATAATTTAATATAATTTAGATTTTTTTTAAACGGTCAGACATCCAAAAACAATACATCTCCTCTTACGACTATGTTTTCCTCTTTTCCAGTCGTTCCTCCTGTTCTGAGTGTGCCAGTCGGAGGGGGTGTGGTCAATGTCAGTGAGGGTGGGACCGCAGAGCTCGTGTGTTTGGTCGATGGTAAGCCCCGTCCACCCGTTCTGTGGTCCCGTGCAAACAAGGACCTGCCCATGCCATCCGGGGATTGGGTGGTGGAAACACGCGATGGACGTTTGCGGCTGACCAATGTGACGCGGGACATGATGGGAGCGTACCGCTGCCAAACCGCTCCTTACAACGGCCTAAACATCAAACGCCGACAGGCTCAGGTGCAGCTCAACGTAGAGTGTAAGTGTTTCAGTCATCAAACAAAGTTTTGAATTGGGGAACTACTTTGAAATGATAGTTCACCAAACTGCTAAAGCTAGAAGCTAGCTACATTAAAGTGATTTACAAGTAAGCAGTGAGTAAATAGCATTTCCCCCCATGGTCTGCATAAATGATCACATTCTCAGTCTCCAGCTTCTTATTTATGGGTTGATCTGTGAACACTCAAAATGATTGGCGGGTAGCACTTGAAATGGCACATTTAAATATGTAACCTAAATATCTTATATCTATATTATGTTTAGATAATAACTTGCGCAATTATTCCAGATGTCTTAACTTTTTATCAAAAAATAATTTTGACTTTTATGTTTATTAAGTTTATTTTATGTACACTACCATTCAAATTTTGGGGTATGTAAGATTTTTTAAATGCTTTAAGAGTCTCTTTTATTTATTTTATTTATCGGTCTCTTTCATTTAGAATTTTTTTTTAAATAAATATTTTTTCTTTTTTTATTTATTAGAGGCTGCATTTATTTGATCAAAAATACAGTAAAAACAGTAATATTGTGAAATAGTATTATTTTATAGAAAAATGATTCTGTTTTAAAATATTTCAATATGTAATTTGAATAAATTAATGTTATGGCAAAGCTGAATTTTCAGCATTATTACTTCGTTCAGAAATCATTCTAATATGCTGATTTGCTGCTCAATAATCATTTATTATTATTTTTGTCAAAAAAAAAAAAATTAATATTTTTATGGAAATTTATATATTTTTTTCTGGATCTTTTGATGAATAAAAAGTTTAAAAGAAAAGCATTTATATGAAATAGAAATCTCTTTATACATTTTATAAATGTCTTTGCAGTCACTTTTTATCAATTTAATATATCCTTAAATTATAAAAGTATTAATTTCTTTCAAAAGTTTGACCCCAAAGTTTCAAATGGTTTGTATTATCACTATTGAGGTGGATAAAATATCCTGTATCATACTCAAAAGCATGTCTGATAGCGGAAGTAAAATGGCTTGTGAACAACAATGCAAGGTTACTAAGTTGGCTTATTGTTTTGGTCACTCCCTGTATTGCACAGGACATATAGTGGTTTTAACCGTAAATGCTTAAAGGGGACCCTTTAGTTGGTCCCCATTGACTTGCATAGTGTTTTTTGTTGTTGTTGTTTTTTTCACTATGGACGTAAGTGGGAACCAGCAACTGAAGGTGAACTATCCCTTTAAAGGATTTAGAGTTAAAAGGTTATCCAAAGTGTTTATAGGAAGTCCCTCTCTAGCCTTTCTATAATATTACAGAAGGATTTTATTTGTCAGTCGACTAGGCCATTGGACACATCGCACATTATTTGTCAATTGACACAGTTTGGACACATCCCAGAGCATCTCAGACAACAGCACTCCTCTGCCTGCCCGAGAAAGGACAGTGGTAATGAAGTATATCAGGAAATTGTTTCGATCGATGGCGTGATTAGATTTGATTTGGTGCTGCACATTTTAATGTGATTTTAAAGTTGATCATAATGCGATCCACTGACTGAGGATAGATTGAGTCTCTGAACGCACGACCAAACGAGCCAAAGTGACACACATTTTCCATTAAGACCCAATGGGCCATTATCAATGATTTTGATCCTGCTATTTTTAGATGCAGCATTTGAGGGCTGGCGGGAGTGTTAATGCGCTCAGAGTTTTCATAATGCATTATGATGCCCGCGTGGAGTGCGTTTTGTAAGTGCCAAACTAAAAAGCCTTGAATTCATTAGCGCTCTAGCTGCGCACAACCGCACAAAAGATAGACGGGTTAAACCCTGAACCACTCAATGAGCATCAGCCCTTTTCACACAAGCCATTAGCAGAGCAAAGCACTCTACGCTCTCATAATGGATCCTGTGTTTATTGTGTTGCTTTAAAATGCACCATGTGATTACAGGACGATGCTGAATTTGAGTGTGCGTCGGTTCATTCACTGCACAGGAGGAGCATCTGTCCGTGAGCATCACACAATGCAGAGAGCTTTTTCGAGCTGTGACATTGTGGTCAGGAAAACTGGGTGGTTGGTGGTTCAAGCCCCACAAGGTGCAGGCTGTGAACCATTACCATTGTGCACAAGGCTCTGGGCCCGGTTGCATGAAAGTCCTTAAGTAATTTGACTTAAGGACTTCAGGGTATCCCTGAGGGAGAAAAAATGCCTGAGGTAAGGGATTTCTTTAGGAGCGTTGCAACAAATGTCTTAATGGGGTCCTATTATGCTCTTTTACAAAGTCTTGATTTTGTTTTGGGGGTGTACTAGAACAGGCTCTCATACAAGGTTGTTCGAAAAACACATTATTTTTCACATATTTTACATTATTACAACACCTCTCTCCCCAGTCTGGTATGAACGGCTCGAATAGTTCCTGTATCAAATGAAGGCCCGCCTTCTGAAATACTAAATGTGCTGTGATTGGTTAGCTGGGCCAGTGTGTGTTGTGATTGGCAGCGTGCCCGAAATGTCATGCCCCTTACCATAGCCGCCTGCTAGCTTCAGTGTAAATATTGCATCAATATCAAATCAATTTGAGCGCGATTTAAACCCGGATGATTGTAACCACTCTAAGTTCGTCTGCCTTGAGAAAGCTAG